CGGATTCCTATGTCGTTCACCCTCGACATACAATCGGGATTCCGATATCCCTTGTATGTCGTTAGGCCCTTCATTCAATGAAAAAAGATAATCATTCACTCATTCATATTGATAGTTTCTAAAGAACCTAGGATCCAAAAGAGTAGTTAAGTACAATGGAGACAGACCTTGCAGATAGTCGGACCAGAGAGATAGAGCAGGATCCGTCGGACCTTCGCACCGTCCGTGATACAAGCGAAATTTCATCACCCTCTTATCGTGCCTGTTGTGACTAAACAGACCAAAGAAACGTTCGGCTCTAATGAACAACGTGTTCTCTTCTTGCCGTTATAAGGGGATGCGGGAAAACGTCCGTACCCAATATGGTCATCCTGGCCAGTAGCGGAACCTTGTATCGCTCGCACCAAGCAAAGTTACATTAGCAAGTTCTTGAAGAAAATTTAAAATTCTAAGTAATCAATACTCCATATTTGAACTTCAAATAAGATCTTTTCTTTCGCGAAACCCCAACTTTTCAGAAAATGTAAAAAAAAAAAAACTTGTCTCCACTAAGATGCGTTCCCTGATCCACAGTCAACATAGTCTTGGTTTTTAATTTACATTACAAATATTATCAGACTCTTTAAAAAAATAAAATAAAAATTTGCATGTTTCGTGTAGTCTTGGTGTGTTCACTTCTCCAGCCAAATTTATTCTATTATAAAGGTTCACTGATTCTGGTGGAGAAACAATTCGGTCAAGCTTTGGCTAACCCCTAACGACTACTTTGAGGTTGCTGCCGCGTACTGACCAGAGTGAGAGTGTCAAAATTAATTTTCCGAGGCCGCCGAGAAATAAATATTAACCAACCCACTTGAGAATCGAACCCACAAAGTTCAGAATTGAGTTCTCTGAAACCCACACTCCAACATGTTCAGTCAACACGTCCTCTATGACAGATTGGTCTGACATAACTTCCGAACCACCAACAGACATCGAGAAAACTCGACAACGATTTCAGTTTTTTTTTCTAATACTAATAAATGTAGAATTATTCTATTCACTATATGCTCACAAATTATCATATTTAATAAACACTTCATATTGTCAATATATTCCAAATATTGGATGATTTAGAACAACAATCAATATCGTAATTCTTGCACTATTCCAAGCGGGAATAAGTGTTTTTTTTTTTGTTTTTAATTCCATTTTATATCAACATTTGTGTTATCTATTTTATTTATATACATTGATAGATTTTTCATTTTTTTTTTTTTTTTTTTTGTTAAAGCCTGTAATGCTTTTGTCTAAAACTGCTTTTCTCTTTACTGCTATCTGCTTTTGATATTAAAAATGGATTCCAAGACCCCATTGATTCTTTGGCCGCTTAGTCCTAAACCAACTCTGGGTCCTAATCTCCCTTACCGCACGTCCTCCTCATTTCGGACTATGGTTCCCGTTGAATCAGCTACAGCCGGCGATGAAGAGTTTCCGCAAAAGCTACAGAAGTGCTGGAGCGGTGTTTATTGGAGTAGATGATTCGCCCCGCAGTTGTCACGTTATCACGCGCACGAAAAAGCAGCGATAGCAGAATACGCCGCAGCATCATCTGTTAGTCGACAAGAAGCCACCCAGCGGGCACTATCTCCTACCGTAAGTCTTATCCTAACAGTTTGTTATCCTCCCTCCTACGTCCTTGCTGTCTCTAGACGTCCGTCCTTTTCACTACGGGGCTATTGCCCTTTATCAATAATACACTAATAGTAAATATTTACAACGCATCACGCAGCATTTGACTCATCATCGATAGAAAATAATAATAATAAAAAAAAAATTATGGATTTAATCATAATAGTAGTGTAAATTTTAAAATAGAACATAAAAATTAAAAATGATTATTTTTATCTTTATCTACTGATTAAATAACATTAGAAAATCTGAAAAGAAATACAGTTAATTTAAAAAAAAAATGAAATAAAATGGGAATTATCTACATACTGCATATACATTTACAAATCGAAAGAAATTCACCGATAGAAAAAATATAATAATTTTAAATTTAAATAAAAAAATCAGTAGCAGTTCTGAAAAACTAAAAAAAATGAATTTATTTAAATGGATGAGACTATAATTTTAACACGAGTACCTCAAAAGAAGAAATAAAACATTCAAAGTCTGAATTTACTATGAGCAAAAAAAGTTAACTGAAGTGAATTGATGTAATTAAACGAATATTTCATTTTTGAATTTATTAAATTTAATAGAACTGAACTTTTAAGAGTTTTATTTTGTGAATTTGGAAATTATTTAATGATAAAAAAATGAAGCAAAGTTTTAATGATAAGTGCATAAAAATTACAAAAACTCTTTTATATATCAAATATAGTTATAATAAGTCCAAAATGTTTTGAAATATCACTTAAAGACTTTTAGCAAAAAAAAAAACTGACAATTTAACTATTCTTTTAGTAAATATTTTAACTAAGGATTTGGCAAAATTAAAATTATTTTAATCAATTTACCTTAAATTACAACAATCAGTAACAATATTGAATTTATATTAGTAATTTGAAAGGCGAAAATAGGAAATATTTACATTTGAGATGTTAATATAAATCATTTCAATTAAACTATACCATTTGTATTTCTCTTTACATTTTTAAATGCTAAATTATAAATTATTTTGCGCATAACAATATAAATACTATTGATTAACAATAACTAATTTGATACTGTGTATATAATTAACGTACATAAAAATGAAAAATGTTATGAATATATACATTATCCCTATAAATAATAACTGTCATATTTATTTGTACATTTCACATCCATGATAATTTATTATCTTCAACTGCGGTCATGATGTGGTTGATACGATTTTCAGAAGCGAATTCACTGAAGGATAGAGAAAACAAAAACAAAAAAATAATATAATAATCAACGAAATATTGATATAAAAATTGTTTTTAAAAATAAATTTTGTTCAGGTATGAAGTTCAATTAATTGAAATCTTGCAAATAAACGGAGAATTTTACTATTATAGAAGAAAATCTAATATAAAGTAGTAAAACCTTCTTTAGTATAACTTTTGGATAAAAAAAAAATAAAATATATAAAAATATTAAAATATAAAGTTAGTATATAAAACGTTTAACGATAAAATAAATTATCGAAACCCATTTAACACTTATTTATCGGAATTATCATTCCTTAAAAGTGAAAAGACCCGATAATAACTATTCTAGAAAATTAAGGATTAGATATGGTGATGGTACTATCGGGAAAATTTATCGTTTTGTGGGTTAGAGTTTCTAATCTTCTGTTTACGGCTCTAATTTTTATTTTTTCTCATTCCATTAGAGTAAATACTACAATATATTTATAATATAATATAAATAGGAGAATTAGTTGTAATAATTTCCATTTACGGTGCAAAAATGAATATAAATAAAAATAAATATAAAAGTCTAACAATAAAACATATTTCGTGTTTTTGTGTTGGCAAGACTATAAAACAGAATGTTATTGATTATGTTAAAATATCCACAATGCTTGTGAAAAATTAGCATTTCATATTGAAAATAAAAAATTTATAGTAAACTGAAAAATAACATGAAACGTAAAATATCTTCTATAGTTATTGTTCATAAATTGGCAATTAAATTATGATATAGAGCATACATTGATTAAATGCATATACCCTCTGCATTTGGGCATTAGGTGCAGTTAGAATGCAGTCATATAATATTTATTTTTCAAATAAATTATTTACTTTTGATGTTATTGTTTTAATCTAAAGAAGTAGAATAGTAGTTGTTTTTTTCAAAAATTTATTTAGAAAATTTTGTTTTAGGTTGATTTGTCCTTTAATTCTTAACTAATTAATGTTTCGAAATATATTTTAAAATAAAAATTTGATCAAAATACCGTTTCTTGGACACACACAAACTTTTTAGAAATATATCCTCTTGAATCTGAATCGTACATATCGTTTTAAAATTTACATTAAGTATGTTTTAAATTTTACATTCTAAATATATCTCTGATATACTGATATATATATATATATATATATATATATATATATATATATATATATATATATATAAATTTCAATTTATTAATAAAAAGCAATTTGATATATGTAGAAAATCGTAGATTTAAATTATTTGCCTTTTCAGAGCTAATTAAGAATCTTTTAATATGATTTAAAAAAAAAAAGAAACACAAAATATTATTTTTTTAAAAAATCGACAATGGTGCTTTTAGGAGATATGGAGTCTTTTTCCCTCCATGAAGTTAATTGTTTTCACTGGCTCTGCAATTTTTTAATTTTATACTAATTATAAGTGATAATATATCATAAATAGTTAGTTACAAACATATATATATATATATATATATAAGACTAAAGAAATGATTATTATTATATTAATTATAACAGGGATTTCAAGGGAATCTCGTAGGTGGGGCGACATTGAAATTTTTAATTTTCGTTTTTAAAATCACAATCAGACTGAAGATTTGAATGTTATGTGTGATTGATGGGAGCGAAAAGATGAAATTAGCAAACGTGAAAAGATACGCTTTTAGTTCATAAGAACATTTGAAAATGGAGCGCCTAGTCGAATCTCATACGGGGCGCCTACGACCTCTTGCCGCGGTCTCGATTTCTTTTATGATTTCTGTGGCGTTACTGTTCCATTAATTACCGTTGTAGGAAAAAAAGTCTACTGATCTATTTGATAATATATAAACACAAAAGGAAAAATTCCGTATAATCATATCATTCTGTTAAGTATTTAATTGTTTAAGATATAACTGTATTACGAAAATAAGTATGTGATATTAACCAAGTAAGGATAGGTTAGACAGAATAGCCAATGTTCTGTCCACAGTAACTCAAGGATACTGTTGGATCGAACATCAGCTATCTCAGGACTATTTAATTTCTTATTATTATAAATACTAATATTTTTTATTAATGTTATGATTATTATTTATTTTATTGCAGCGCGATGTACCCAAGAGCATCATATAACGGCTTGCAGAATTATTACAACACAGCCATGTCCAGCCCAGATGCAGAAACCCCCAACACAACACCTCAACAACTATGGACAACAGGTAGTTTTTTTTTTTTACTTTTGACTAAATGTGATTTGTATCAATTAAAACTAACAAAATAATGTTGCTGTAACTCCTCGGACAGATACATACCGTAAATACACGATTTCAGTTTCGTACAACTTTACGTTTTTGAGCTTCTTACCTTGGATTTGATAAAACAATTATTTATTGGCTGCATTCTTATATTCCTTTCTGGATTTTTTGACTATGCTTCGTAGGAGACTTTTTCACAGACAGGCACTATTATTTTTCAGTTGTCCTAGAATAAATAAAGAACGTGATTATTGTTAATATAAAGGGATAATAACTCAGAAAGAGACAGTAAATAAAAGAAAATTATGTAAAAAAATATTATAGATTATAGATATTTATTATTATTTATTTATTATTTATTATTAGATAAATATTTATTATAGATACCTCACACTTTAATTTTTATCTACTAATCGTAGCGATACAGATCCACACATTATAAATTTAACTTACCTATTTAGTATATAATTTATAGAAAGGAAAAGTATTTACCGATCATGAAAAATTTCGAATCCAAATTTACAACGGGAATAATCTTTTTAAAGTCCCTTGAGTCCAAATAACCAGAATCTCGCAATGTCGCCTTAGTGTAAACAGACTAGACTCAAAAACTAAAAGTCGTATAAAACTTAAATTAGTGTTTGGGGTGTAACATGATCTTTCTCTCTAAAATCAACTTACCAGCAATTTTATATTACTTTTAATACTTTCCATTTTTTTTTCTTTTTTTTTTTCATTTTTGACTCGACATTAATGATGTAAAATTAAATAGCTTTTAATATTAATTAGGTCTTAGCCTCACTGAAATTGTTTGACTGGTCTTGACTGACGAATTTTCAAATTGTCATCCTCTAAAATAACATTAACATTGATTATTAGAAATAATTAAGATCATTCATTTTCAGTATTAATTCAAAGTGGATAAATATGAATAATGAAATAGTTTGAAAATTAACGAAAGGAGAAAGAAATGTTTTCATAGTTCGAAAAGGGATTTCTATAGGGCTAAAGCCTCCTCCCGAAAATAGAAAAATAATTTTTTTCATGCATTTTGTTTATATATTATACTTTCCTTCTTTTTTTTTTGGTAAATAACTTTAATATCATTTCATATAATTTCTTTTTTTACTTTTACAGTAATTACTGTTATAAACAAAACATAACAAAAAAATAAATAAATTCTAGGTTCGTTACTGGGTTCTAAAATTCTTCTAAATTCGCTCAAATTAAGGTCTCACTTTAATCTTTCTTCCTTGACAGGTTCTTCTGCATTTCCTTTGATTCCTCTGCTCCTTCCTTCTTTTCTCGGGCGTAACACGTCATCTTCTCTTTCCTCTACACACATCTGATATCCCCGAGCATCCTACTAATGCATTTTTAGCTTAGCTTTCAAAACTGCAATTCTTTCTTACCACTAAAACTCAACTATCCCATCCACTTTCCTGCTAAACCACCTCCATGACCTCGAAAAACAACAAAGCAGCTCCTTCAAAAAATTATGTACGGTATTTTAGATTATACGTGGACAGGAAAAACATATCGAATTTAAAAAAAAGGAACTGATCAAACGATAAAAATAGCTGTCATATCTCTTGCACTATAGATCTCCACTCAACTCGAAACAAGCGACTAATATATATTATTATAATAGGACCTAAGGGGCCGGATTAACCGTAGGGGCTAAGGCGCTTGCAATAAGAAATCAAAGTTAAGCAACGTCCAGCTTGGCTAGTCCTTTGATGGGTGACCGTCCACCAGGGAAAACCATGCTGCCCGAGATTCTCCCCCCCCCCCCCCGGGTATTTGCGACCCATCAGCCTACTGGAGGCAACTCAAACCGACCTGGCGTAGGACTGATGACCCTACCCGTGTACTTAAATCGGGAATTGCTATGTGGTTTACCAGGATGTTAGTGGCCCTCGTGCGTATGCTGAATCTGGCCAGCCATAATTCATGGATCTAGACCGATTTGTCACTGCCTTTGAACCCGAGTGAGTCGGTGGGAAGGACACTGCTATATTGGCCCAAAGGGATCAGCTATGGAGCTACGGATGGCCTGCCGCTGCACCATCGTTACCCCTCCAGGCTGTCTGTGCTTCCGTAAGCAATGTAAGTCTGTAAGAAGGCTCTCACGGCCAAAGATCTTCATGGTCTGTAGTCCCAACAGACAAAAAAAATATCAGGTGTGTCCACTCACTCGACTTTCCTACCCATTTCAGAAAAGTTTTTATATCTTTATATGTTCATGAAGAAACAAAAAAGAATTGAACTAGATTCATTTTCATGAAAATTGATCAAAGAAAAGATTTGATTGCGATTGATTTGATAAACTAAAGCAATGTAAACCGGCTTAAGGTAGATCGGTGTAAAAATTTCAATACTCACTAATATTGCTGATCAAAAATTTTTTGACATAATAGTGAAATTTTTTGAGTATTATTATTAAAAGTAGAGGAAATAGTGAAGATTGTGTGATGCGGAGAACAGATTTTCTTACTTATATTTAGTCATCTTTATTCTCTCATTCACTCCTTTCTTACACCAGGATATGAACCCGTAATCTTACATTGGAAATTGAATAGCTGTAACTTCGTTAATAGTTGTCCAAAATGAACGATTTTTATATGGCTTTGTAGGGAATTTCATTAACTCAGGGGTGTCTGAAAAGTATAGATCCGTCGAATACAATACTTTCCTTACCTAGTATAAGTAGGAAAGTGATAATATTACCTATTTGGACATATGGGCTTTGGGGTTCCGCAAAACACGTTCATATAAACAAATTTCAAACCGCGCAGTCCAAAATACTTCGAATAATTGTAAATGCATCTTGATTCATTTTAAATCATACCATGGACATGAACATACCAACATTAAAATCGTACAAACACCACATTTCATACTTCAACTCTTAATCATCCAAGTTCTCTCTTTCTGCCCGGTGAGCCTGGACGAAGACTAGAAAGGCCGTTGTCCAGACAATGTGCAAATTTGTAAATACTTATTCATTTGATAAGCGTATTTATATGCTACTCTATAAGAAACTACAACTGAAGAACCTTTTTGCAGGCGGCTGCGAGGAGTACAGCAGCAGCTCGGGGAGCAGCATCAAGTACTCCAGCGGCGGCGCGGTCCAGCTGCCGACCTTCACGACGGCCAGGTTCCAGCGCAACTTCAGCCCTGCTGGAGGCACCACCTACCTCAGCCAGGACATCTGGCCCACCCCCGTGTCCCAGGCGGGCAACCCCTTCCCGGCCGCCGCCTCTCTGTCTGCATGTTAGTACCTCTTCTATCATAATTATATCTTAAAGTAACTCTTCATAATATTTTTGATGTATGTTTTTAAAACATTTCATTGTAGCATATTTTTTCTTCCATTATTTCAGTGAGGGAACTCTAAAACTATTTATTTATTTATGCCTCAGTTCCTTGCCTTTCGGCTACACGGAATTTTGCAGGGATGCCATATCACATACGTGCATGCCATTTCCGCTATTAAACCACAAATTATTGTCAATTTTTTTTTTCAAATCTCTTCTTTTGTCATTATTTTCACCATATTCGCCTGGCGGCCTTCCATTAGCAGGTCCTCTTCTTCCCAGAATAAAGTGGGAGGGCCCCAGAGCAACATTCCACCCATCACTAGCGGATCCAGGATTTAATTTTTATGGCTTCAGAACGAAAGATTATTTTTTCATATACATATAACGATAATTAATTAGAAAAAAACAATTAACTACCTATATTATAGTGCCACTTTATAACAACGCTGAAATACATTTTTACAATTTGCTCAAAAACGGCTCCAACGATTTTTATTAAACTCGGTGTATCATTGTATAATCAAGTAGTCTTTAAGATCATTTAGGTCTCATCCCTATTGATGTCACTTTACAGGGCTTAAATACCCAATGTTCATATATACGTCTTCCTCTAAAGTACCTTTAATATGGTTTATTTTAAATAATTAATCATCTCACATTATTCAGAGTAACAAAAAAATGCTTATCCAGGTCGAAAATGAATCTCCAGAAATACTAGTGAGAAGGTATACCTATAATATATCGTTGGAAAGCGAAGAATTTTAGAAAAACAATATCTAATACCACTAGCGGATCCATATCAATATGATATGGTGATTCTTGAAGTCCTATTATATGTAATTAAACGAGCAATAATACTTTAAGACATAATTTTTTGATATTTTTTACCATAAAACATAGTTACATTTTACCATTTTAGGGGGGCTTCAGCCCGGAAGTCCTCCCCCCCGTAAATCCGCCTGTGCCACCCTTACACAAAATCTTTGTAATACGGGTAGTTCTGCTCCTCCACTAACTGGGGAAATTCATCCTCCGTGAGGCCATAGACTCAAATTTTTCTCATCATTTCGGCCCTTAGTCCATCAAAGTCTGTGCAGTTGACGATAACGTGCTCAGCCGTCTCCGGTACTCCGCAAGTGGGGCATTGGGGATCTATGTATTTTCCAAAACTATGCAACTTAGAGCGGAAACCCCCATGCCCTGTAAAGAATTGAGAGATCCCGTAGTCCGGGAGAACCCATTCGCTTTAAAGCGACTTCGAACGGTGCAAAAATACTTTCTTAAAGTTGCTCCTTTCAAGGTAGTTAGTTACCCATTGCAGATTCCACTCATCTTTGGTATCCTCCCGGATAATCCTCTTCCATTTTCTTGAGTCTTCTGCAATCCTCACCCGGATATTCCGATATTCACACCGGAACTCTAAAACGAACCTTAAACAGCCTTATCATATTGTGTCACAGTGCCGGCCTTAAACATTCGCCGCACTCCCCCTGGGCAATGACGTCCTCTTCACTTCTTAAAAAAATAATTTCTCAAGCTGTTTTATATTATGTAATATTTGAATTTAATTCCATTCAACATTTCTTTAATACAGTTGCTTTATTGGTAGACTTTTTTTTTTTTTTTTTTTTGCACCGGCCAGGAAAGACCACGCGAATATCATTTCATTTTCCTCTTCACACCCTCAGCCTTCCTCTTACTCCAGTACTCACCACTCATCCTCCTGGACTGTTCCTCTCGTTCTTCCTTAGTCCATTTTCTCCTTCCTCTCCCTCCCACCTAGAAGAACCCTAACCCCTTTCAGTTTTTCCTTAAAAATCTTTCTATCTAAGCAATCTTTATCCATGATTTTTAGCCTGTCTAGTTCCTCTTTTATTTGTTTTACATATCCCCCCATACTTTTATAGCTGCAAACATTGTCAACAATTTTCTTGTTCAGTCTTTCCCTATCCATCCTGACAATGTTCCCTTAGAACCTCAGTCTTCTGGTCCTGACGACTGTTTCCAAATCTTCCAAATTTCTGTATATTTCTTTATTGGATTTCAGCCTCTATCCCTCGTGCGTTACCTTGGGTTCGTGAATCCTTCTCAGAATCTTCCTATCAATCTTCAGAGTTTTCTCTAGGCTCGGAAGGCTGACGGAAGGATAAAGAATAAAAATTATATTATATGAAATAATCATAAAACATCTGAAACATGAAAACTGAGTACAATAAAAAGTTTTTAAAATTAATTTTTTAAATATGATCCACAAAATATTATATTTCTGAAATCATGAAGCGATAAGTGGTTTACCGCTTGAAATGGATTGATCCTATTAGAACATAATTAGTAAATATGATAAAAAATATAAATTGCAAAATAATTATCAACTGATTAATCAGATGCATCCCACAAACTATTCGATATTCTTTGTAATTCCGGAAATTCTTCAATTGAATGAAAAGAGAAGGAATGAAACGATGGTGAAATAGCAATATGAGCGGCAATATTTTTGTAGATCTTGAAATAAAAATTAAAATAATATTAATAAAAATATTTTTTTTTGTGTTATACGTTTGTAAAAATAAATTAAAATTACGTTTTAGTATTTTTCTTCATTTTTTTAGATAAGCTATTTTTGCTATCTATTGTTTAGGATTAGATTTGAATATCTCTTATTCATCGGATGAGTTTCTCTTGTTGTGGATAACCCAGACTGCATTAGGACGGTCGTGGCTCAAAGAAATTCCTCTGAATCGCTTCGTCATTCGATTATTTTCCATCGACCAGAGTTTAGCGCTGCTGATATCAACACTGACTCATACTTTCCAGTTTAGATCTAGCTATCTCAATAAAAATTATAAAATCTTGGTGGCGTTAATAGACCAACTGTATTACACAACTTTAATAAATGTCATAAATCGTTTGGCTAACCACAATTAGTCTCGTTTAACGCGATATTTGTTTTTAAATAAAGACTATTATTATGACTATAACATAGTTTAGAAGTACTGAAAGACATGAAAGGATAATTCTCCGTACGATAACCGATGCGATCAGGAATCGGATTACAAAGATATAGAAAAAAAGGTCAAACGATAACTGCCTGCAGAAACTTGTCAATCAATATCTCAGGGTATAAAGGCAAGGAGGTTAAGATATCTGGGACACGTAACTCGGAGTAATCCATGAGGATATCTTAAATAACAATGAATGCCTCAATAGCTGGCAAAACATAATATTCAACCAAGATGAAAATCATTAGCCAAAGAAAGGTAGAGGTGAAGATTGTTTCACCCAGTCAAATATCTACAAGGCTTGTAAAGCTAACAGAGACATAAGATTATTAGGATATGTTTTAGATGGAATTTCTAAATTATCACTAACAAAATAATTTATTCTCTCAGACAGTTAAAAAAAAAAAATAATTGACTAACTGAAACTACTAAAGTAGCCATCAAATGTACAACATAAACTTGTAACTACAAACATCCGACAAATCGATCAAATTATTATACGAAAGATTTCACGACAAACCTAATAGTGACTTAATGGTATAAACTCACTTGATTTTATGTTTTTTTTTTTGTTCTGGGCTTTTTTAAAAGAGCGAGACATTTCTTTTAAGTGGAGATAATTAAATATTGTTTGGATGGAAAGGTAAGGATTAAAATAAAATTGTATTGAAGCATGAATAGTTGTATGAAAAATAAACTCGAATACCGTTACTATTAACTTGGTCATTAGCGAGGTTATTATAAAAGTCCGAATTTAGTTAAGGCCGTTATAATATTTTTTTTTTTTTATTCAACATTTATATTTAACCGTGGGTAGTTTCATTAGTTTCAGGATATATATACATGTTGTCGTAATCTATATAATTAAATAGTAATCAATACCTATTGAAAGCCATACAAAAATTCACAGTGTTTTCCCAACTATGTTACATTATACTTAATCTACAATTAACAATATATATATATATATATATTGGAGTAATTAAAAAGCAGTTTAATATAATGCACTGATATTGTATGTGTATGTTTACATACTCAATTATGTGGGGATAAGGTTAACAGTTACAGGTATATGCAAACCAAAAAACCTCCTTAGACAAGGAGCTTTTTCCTCTGGTCAAAACAGAAGAACTTCTCTATCAGGCTGTTATGGTAGCGGTTTGGCCATGATTCAAGCATTCATTTAGCTTCCAACTTGAAGAAAAAAATTAAGAAAAAAACGAGAACGTGTGACATGTTGGTAGAAGTTTATAGCTCCCAATATGGCATATTTTGATTAGTTAATACTTTGTTATCAACAGACTGACACTCCACCCGATCCTAATGACTGGACTTGACCCGATACCGCAGGCAGAGGGGCCGATCCAGTTTCAAGCCACCGTAGCTAGCTAGAGTTATCGGCGAGGTCTCGGGGTTCAAAGCCGTAAATCGGGCGAGTGGCAAACAGCCTGATTTAGTAGCGTCCGCTTTAATAAGGGTCTCCAGGCAAAAACTATCCTCCGTCGATTATTTCGACAAATTCACAAGACTCATTCTTTTTCCATCCAGACGGTTGAGATGTGATTTATGGCTAACAGGCGAGAGGGGTTCGTTCCGGCTGTAATCGCTCACAACTTTTTAGCCTCATTTTTTGAGAAAGATTTGTCGAGAAATTTGATTGGGTCGTCTCGGCGCTAGATCTTCTAGGCTGTCGGAACTTCAGGCCTCTAAATCAGTTTTGTTTTTGTGGCATCCTTCAAAGAAGTCAAATTCTAAAGTTAACCCTACAATTTAACTCTTACTCTACTTGCTTATTTTTTAATAACACAATTTTAAAACTTATTTCCATGGTTCTCAAGTTCCGTGTATCGTTATCGCCTCAGAAGCTTCCTTCAAAATTTACAGAAGGTTTGGACGACAATCACTGTATATACAATATAACCCAGGACCAACTTTCTATTTGCCAGATTATTCC